AGCATGTTGACACCTTTTTATTTATTTCTCTCCTATATAATAAGTGGCTATAAAACGGCAATGAAACAGAAATTGTTGTTCCACATCATTCACCGTTAACTGTAATGGTTTCGTTAAGTAGAATCTGTTAAGTAGAAATTAAGGATGTTAAGCAGCAATTAAGGCATCCATTTATCTTCGTCAGCTTAGGAACCCAAGAGACTTGAGACTGTAGAATGGAAGTATAAGTAAGTAAGATAATGGACAATTACCTCTAATTCCAGAGACTTCAGCAATTTACATTTCCAGCAATAGATATTAGCCCTAATAACAAGGTGATGATTCCAAACCATGTCCAGAAAACCACAATTTGCAGAAATCCTGACTGCAATTTACGTCCAGCCAACCCGCAAAAATCGCAAACACTACCATTCATCCTCAACCAAACCACGAAACCACCATTTCCAACCCAAAAATCGACACCATCGACAGCCACACCCATCACTCGAAATCCACACCAACAGCCACTCCACCCAAACTCGACAACCCACCCAAAATCCACCCCAAACAGCTTAAAGAACCAAGAAACAACCCATTTTACTTTCAGTCCTTAAATTTTCACTTTCAGTTTCATAAATTTTCAATTAAGCCCCTGAACTTTATTTTNGTTTCATAAATTTTCAATTAAGCCCATGAACTTTATTTTTATTATTTTAAGTATTTATTTCAGTCTCAAAGTTTCAGTTATAGACAAAAAAGTTCCTAAAGTTCTTATTTCCCACAGTTAGTAGAGGAAGCAGATCTACATATAACAAAACAAACCGATCAATAAATGCTGAACAATCATACATCGCAGAAGAATTGCTTGCAAGAGAACAACTAGGTTAGATTGTAGTATTAATACTCAACAATGTCATTTAGTATGTACGTCCAACTCAGTAACCTTTCCTTTACATTCAACTTTTGTAGCATTAAACAGAAGAAGGAAGGACCTAGTTGTTTCATGTCGTGAATATTATTGCTACAAATTGT